TATAAATATATAAACAAAACGCATATTTATTTATTAATTTGCAAATTAATATAAATATAACAAAACAGTGGTTCAATACAAAAACGTTTTGGTGTGAATTTTTTTTATTCTTTTAAAATGTACAATCTCTCTATTTAGATGATTTGAATTTTAATTTAAAAATTTTATAATGAAAGTAATTAATTTGATTTTTTGTAATTAATAAAAAATAAATAAAATAAAATTTTTGAATTTTTTTTATCGACCTGTTTTTTTATAATGGTTCTTATATATTTCTTTAATTCGCGCACGGCTATAGGTTCCCTTTTTGTTAAATAATTCAAAGTTTAATATTTTTTATTATACTCTATATTATGTAGAAATAATATAGACGATAGAATAAAGAGGATGACGCAGATATAGTTTTAGTAATATTAATTTATGTTTGATCGTAATTCTGATAATGACTTTCAAGGAGAGTCGAAATATATGTAGAGTATAATAAAAAATATTAAAAGTTGCATTATTTAACAAAAAAGGACCTATAGCCGAATTAAAAAATATATAAAAACTATTATTAATAAAAAATTTGATATATTTCATACATCATAATATAAAATTAATATATTGCTGAGTACGTTCCAAAATTCGTCCTTCGTGGTCCTTCAGCCTCACTGGGTCCCGATAAATAATTAAATATGTTAGTTGGCTCCAGTTTTGAATAACCGTTTTTATTGCTCTCAGTTTTATCAAACGTAAACACAATTTTCTCTAATAATTATAACATAATACAATCTATTTCTAACGTAACTGACATTTTTAGAAAAATATTTCTACGATTATTTAGATTCCATATTCACAATATTTTATAATTTAGAAGACATAAATTAAAAGTTAATTTCAAAAATTTTTATAAGGAATGAAATTGATTTAATTTAATGAAAATGTTTATGTATATATGTATGTATATGTATATATGTATATATGGCCTATGCTGCTCCTAAAAATATATGTATATATTTATATAATGAATAATAAGTTAATTTAATTTTAGTTACTAATAAAAAAATTTTTTTTTCTTTTTATAATTAAGAAAACATGAACTTTAATTAGAAAAATGTGTAAAGAAAAATATTATTTTAATTTATTTTTTAATAAAAAGAACAAATGTTAATTTTTAATTTAAAAATATCTAAATTTGAAACCTCTCTAAAAAACATCTAATTTAATTAAAATTAGTGAAACATTTCCTCTATAAATGATATATCTATGACAAACTATATACTTTCATTACGCCTTCGGAGCACTTTTTAATTTTCTATTACTCATACGCTCCCTAACCTTGAAAGAACTAATTGCTCTGAGTTCAATGATACCAAAATTGCAATGAATGTGTACTTCTCTGCCCTTCCCTATTGCAACAAAATTGCATACATGTGTCTTGTGCAAATTTTAGTTTTATATATTTACACTTCTTGAATGCTTCCCGGCGTTTGTAAACTAACTGTTTGTCTATCTGACTTCAAAGTAATTTACACTCCTAATTTTGTATGTGTGAAATATTCGTTTATATGCGATAAATGACTGCATACAAAAATAAAATAAAAAAAACAAAATCAAAAACAGCACAGAATAAAAATAAAAATAAACTGATTTATAAGTTTATACAAATTTACGCTACATTTTTAGTTGGTCTATCTCGTTTTATGTTATCTACACTAGTATTTCTAGAAGTTTCTAGTCTAGTCGTCTAACAATATATTTAAAGAAAAGAAATTACTTACATACAACTTCATGAAACCCTTTATATAGATAAAAATGATAAACCTTTATAAACCCTTTAAGAAACTCTTTATAGTATTGAAATTCAACAATTAAAAATGAAAATATAATTAATTAATTAATTCAATTATTCTACAGCTGGTTTATGATTTCGTTCTAATATAAACACAGCAAGTAAAATTGTTAATAAAAACTTTCATAGTAATAGTAACAAAATTCCAGAAAAATATGCGAACAAAAAAGTCAAGTATGGCTTTGGATCAGTTGGTTAAGGTGCGCTGATTCTGAGCTTCACATTTGGCAGGACCCGAGTTCGATTCCTGGTACTTGCAGTCTCAAAAATAATTATTTACGAATAATTAAATACAAGAATTATTTCCAAGACCACTGATGATGGGTATTTGGCAATATTTGGTACAGCTGTGTATGGTCAGCCAAAAATTCAATTAATCAAAATAATATAAAAAAAAAATTTTTTGTTGTTGTATTTCACTACTGTTCAAAAAAACCTCTTTATAAAAATGATAACTGTATATTAAATATAAATCTAATAAAACATATAGCTAATTGAAAGTCTTTACTGAACGATGAGTCTAATCGAATCTGGTACGAGTATAATCGGAAATTCGATAGTATAATAGAGAGATAAAATGTAATATATTTAATCTTAGTACAGCAGATAACTTAAGTATATATAAAGCAGGCAAAGTAAGTTCCTTTAAGGCTATCTATTGGTAAGCGTATTAGATGCAGGATAAGCAAAATATGGAGTGATGGTGCAGCAGGCGATTTTAACAAAATTAATGACCGTCATCAGTTGCAAAGTATTGAAATTGGTATTTGTTAGGGGAGAGCAGTCGCATTAGATAGGGAAGAATATAACTCAGGAACCGTGAACTTAAGCATAAGACTCTCAAGAACTGCAAAGCTAAGATTGGATAATCTATTCCTCCATTTATTCTTTTTTTTGCCAAAAAGAAAGTAAGATTTAGCTTTATTTATCATATTCTAGATTTTAATTATATTACAAATGATAAAAAAAATTTATATTTATATATTATATTTTTTTTGTTTGTGGTTCTAATTTGTTCGTAGTTTTCATTTTTATTTATATTGTTTTTTTTTTGTTCTTTTTATAAGTAATAACAATATCTAATTGCGGATTGGATACCGTCTTAGTAATATATCAATTACAGTGAAATTTTTCTGCAATGAACATTCTAACAGTCTTCCGTTCGGTTTGATAAGTTGTTTACACAAAATATAGTCTCTAATCGTACTGGACTCACTCAAGACTAGGTAAAGATTTTTGGGGTTGGAGTTTTATGTGTGATTCGATTCTGATAACAGAAACTCCACAACAGTGGACATTTTATCCTTTCCGCTGTTTAGTTAGAAACACTTGTTTTCTTGCTTCTCTGGTTGATCTCATATTTTCTGATCATTCAAGTTTCAAGTTTTTAAGCCAGAAAGATAATTTTGAAAGACAAGCTCTTGTCCACTACTGACATCTGAAATTCCGCGACGGGGAGCGTTCTAGCTTTCCACTGTTTCATTATAGTCAGTTGTTAATACAAAACATCGTCTCTCTATGACATCATATTTTCTGAAATCTGGCTAATATTACTATATATTTCTTTATTTAAACTCCACTTCTTTATTTTATTAGTTGTTTACATAAAATATGGTCTCTGGTAGTAATAGTCTGTTCTGACAGCCGAAAGTCTTGTTAGTTTATTAATGCTAATTCCACACAATATATAAATTTTAGAAAATTTATGTACAAAAATATCACTGAAACACAATATAAAGTTGATCATACGACTGTTTTTAATACCTTCAAATGTATATAATCACCTATCTTCAATCTGAGTTTAATAGGTCGTGCAAACACAAGTAACAAAGAACTTTGCCAATTTTATAAAGTCATAAAATACGTGATTGGTTAGTTGATTGCAGTGGCAGGCCATCAAATAACTTCCATGTACCTCAATTAGCGATTTTTCATCGGTTTTCTATCACATTCCTCGCAACAGCCCCGCAGATAGAAAAATACAGACTAAATTCTTCCTGACAAATGTAGATAATTTAATATGTTTTTTATCTTCACCGATAAACAGTCTAATAAACTGTCAAGAAGTACCTTACCAAAAACCTACTTTGGTAAGGTACAACCAGTGACGATTACTACTCTTGCAGTGAGGATTATGACGAATGCGCAGTTTCTCTGCATGGATAAGCGTATACACTAATAATCTGAAAGAACTGCAGTAAGCTTTACAGTGTTCACACGATCTCTTTTGATGAGTTCTCAAGATCTAGTTTTGTAATAATTAGGCCATGTTAATCGTGAAGTTGCACATGACTTAAGTTGTGATTGGCCTTCCACTTGTGATTGTCAAGTTGATAAAAGCAGAGGTAAGTACTGGTCTTTATGGTCTCTAAGGTAATATAAAACGCTAGTTAAGCATCCAGAGAAGCACCAGAGCAAGCTAAACAGCCAGCATTCTCGTTCCCTTCGATGTTCATGTACTTAATACTTAATGTTAATAAAGATTTATTTAAAACAAATAAGAACAATAATGAATGTAAATACGTGCGTATTAAAAAATGACTAAATATGTTCATATACAATTTTATGTAAATCGGAAAGGTAGTATACCTTTAATATTTATTTAGTTTTCATATAAGAAAAATATAACAAGTAATGTACCATTCTCTTAAAGTCCATGTGACCAACTGCACTTACCCCTTTGAATTTGAGCAATTCTCGTGATGCGAAACTGCATTGAGTGCAAGTTGCATTTTTTTGCAATTTTAGTTGTCGATTGGCCTTTGCGTCAACGAAATGTGCGCATAAGAATTTGCTTATATATTTTAAATGTTATTTTTTTTTTCATATGTGTAACAAAACTGACATCAAAACATATGTGCATTTCATAATTTATATAAGCAATAAAAACTGCATTGGTTTTTATGAAAAATAAAAAATTCGTTTTGTTATAAAAATAAATAAACTAGTTCACCTCAGAAGTGTGTCAGCAGTGCAAATTGGAAGCATTGCAGTTAATTTATGCAATTATTTCATAACTAAAAATTAATAATGAAATTAACAAGTTTTTGAAAGTGTCAGCAAATTGGAGTTGATAAAGAAAAATAATAAAAAAAAAAGAAATGGAAAATAATTATAAAATGCAGTTAAAATAAAAATGTTCAACTGAAAGTGAAAATAGTTTAATTTTAATTTCAAAACTTAAACTTCGATTGCATTTAAAATAAAAAAAAATCATTTGAATATCGACTATAAAAGGTGTGCATAGAGAAATCCGGTAGGAAACGTGGTAATGGCATGTGGCAAGGAGTATGACGAGGATGTGGAAAACTTACGAAACTTATTCCATACGAAAAACATTGTAAAATTTGAAATCAAATTTATAAAATGCACACCGGGAAGCTGTTCCGGTGATAATTACATGTCCTACGTACATCGACTACTTCTAAGCGAATATGAAGAAGAATACTCCACTGGCACTGAAATGGGTAATTAAATTATTAACACTCTTTTTCCAATATTTAATTTAATTATAATGTAAGAATTGTAGAAATCGCTAAAAACTTGAATTAAAATTTTTTTCTTTATTTTTATAAATATTTTTATTTTTATTAATATTTTTTATAAGTTTAAAATAATCCACGGAATCTAATCTACTGCAAGCAAAAATCAAAATCGATTTTTTTTTCGTTGTTTTCTTTTCTGTCTTACACAAATATGCAATATAAAAATTGTTCAAATGCAACCCAACCACTAATAAATGACCTTGGATTTGATGTGTAACAATGCCACAACCACACTCATAAAGCACAATTCTAAGGTCATCACTGCATACGCCGCACTGTTATGCTACGCACACACGCTGCTTCATATTGTTCATTCATAAAATTTTGTCTTACCGCATTCGTTGTTATGTATATGGTTTGTTTACCGTGTGCTTCTCTCTTTGATGTGCGCTTTTTGTTTTCGTTTTTGTTTTTGTTTCATGATGTAAACAAAAATCAGCTGTTTCTGCCATCTGCGTTAAGGAAAAAGCTTAAAGCTTTATTGCTTGATGCGATGTGAATAAGCGCTTCGCATGTAATTGCCAAGCGTTCATTGACTTTTTATATTTAATTAAGTTTAAAATAGATGAACTTTGAATCTAATAAAATTAAACATTAGAAAAAATGCATTTTAAATATAATCAGTTAATTTGTATATTAAAAAAATAAAGTCTTTTTTCGGATTTGATTATTTTACATATTATTTTAAATTATATGCCATACAATTATTTTTCAGAGAATTCTACATATGCATATATTTCAATAAATAAGGTTTAATGTTTATTTGAAATTTTTTTAATAATATTAATAAATTATGATTTAATATAATTTATAAATTATTATTATATTAATATAATAATTTACAAAGAGGTTTTTTCGAACAGTAGTGAAATACAACAACAAAAATTTTATTTTTTTATATTATTTTAATTAATTGAATAATAATTTACAATATATTACAATATATTACAATATAATTTACAATATATTCAGAAAAGCAGTTGCTTTTCTGATGTTCACTTTAACCACTTGCCATAAACATTGATATCCCACTTTCAAGCTCAATTAAACAAATTTGGGCAGATGACCCTTTCGGTCAGATCTCAACATCGACCTGATCCAAACTGCCAAACTGACAATTTCCATATTTTGGGGTGTAATAAATCACATGAAATTAAGTCTCAAGGCTATTTTGAAACTATGTGGCGTTAATTAACTGGAGTACGCCACTAAAATTGATTACCTTATCGGTGAAAAATATTAAGTAAGAATATTTAGAATATTAAGGGTTATTAATGTAAACATATATTATGTTATATATGTTATATGTTAATGTAAATAAAGGTGTTTTCTCTCTTCGTTCTATTGTCAACCGAAATGATTATACTACTAAATGATTCTGAGCTTCACATTTGGCAGGACCCGAGTTCGATTCTTGGTACTTGCAGTCTCAAAAATAATTATTTACGAATAATTAAATACAAGCATTATTTGCAAGACCACTGATGATGGGTATTTGGCAATTCTCGAAACAGCTGTATGGTCAGCCAAAAATTCAATTAATTAAAATAATATAAAAAATAAACTTTTGTTGTTGTATTTCACTACTGTTCGAAAAAACTTCTTTACTAAATAATTATTTAATCTTCGATGAAGTCGAAATAGTCGAACCATCTTTATTTAATTAGCGATTAAAGTAAAGTTTAATTAATACATTGTGTTAATTTGCTTCCCTAAACTCTGAGTTTTGTTTTTTTTTTTGAAAACATTCAATTTACAATTACATTACTTGACTTATAACTGAAGTTATAATTATAACTCGTTTATAAATAATAAACAGAGAAACGCTCACAGCATTCCATTTCAATGTAAATAAATGTAAAAGTATATCAGGTGTCATGAACGACCGGGTCTATCTCCTGAAAGTAGTCATGTACCGAAACGACCAAGTGCAAAACGCTCCTTGCAACAAGGCAAAGCCAACTAGTCTTTTCATATGAAGTTTCATCTGTGGTCGAGTCTACCCGCTGAAGGTACTCATAATTGAAACGACCAATACAACCTCCTTCCATAAACAATGAAGAGCCAAATGGTCACTTGGCCATAGGCAAGACACAACATCATTTAAATATTCGCCTTATGTGGGAAGAACAATTGAAAATTATGAAATATTGTAATCAGATTTCATATCTTTGTTTAAATATTGGAAACTTTAATTTCATCCTACTCTTATTTAAATAGCTATAGATTTTTCCTTACCGATTTGAAAATGGACTTTTCTAGATAAGAATATACTCCTTGGCTATCCTGCTTGTAGTACATTAAGGCTTCACCATTTAGGCGATGTTGTTATACGTTGGTATAGATTTGGAACAATAAACATTACAACAGAGAAGAACAACCGCGTAAAATCCTTAGGTTGTTCATTATAGATACATTCCGGCACTGATTATTTTGGCTTTTACTAATAATCATGATAATTAAAATATAAAATAATTTATATAAATAATAGAGAGACTTGGTTTAAATATACCATATATGAAATAAAATAGTTATACAAAAAACAATAAGAATCTATATAAATTCTAACAAGTTTTTTTATTCATCACAGGTACGAACCTACTGTCCTATATCGTGAAGCGACAGATAACAAATAAGGCACGAAGACAATTATATAGATGCGATGAAGCGTTCGATAATGAGATTAATGCTTATACCTTTGCCGTACCAATGTTGGAAAATTATGCCAAGGATGTGTTATTTCCTAAATGCTTTTTTGCTGGAACTGATAAAAATGGACAATCATTGATCATATTGAATGATCTTAAAGCCTTAGGTTATCGTATGCATAATCGTCTAGTAAGCATGAATCTACACTACTGTGAGTTAGTTATGAAGGTAAATAATTATATGTTAACTGCAAAATATAACAAAAAAATAAATATTTTGCTTTTGTTTTTATAGCAACTGGCAAAACTACATGCCGCTTCTATAACCGCTAAACAAATGAACTATGAACATTTTTCAGAACGTTGCAATCACGTACAAGAAATCGTCTATAATAGTAAAGCCGAGGAATGTTATAGAAATATGATCGAGAACTCAATTGGAGAGGCATTAAATAGTTTGAGAAGATCAAATGTCGATGGTTGTTTAACGGAACCAATACGTATTATTGAAAAACTACAAACGAAAATGTATCATCAGATCCAAGAATACATCACTAAACCGGAGGAGAGTATTAAAGTTTTGTGCCATGGTGATTTATGGGTAAATAATATAATGTTTGCTACAGCAACTCCAACAACACCCATTCCTGTACGAAATCAACGAGAACAGAAGGATTTGCCTGAAGTGATATTTTTTGATTTGCAAGTTATGCGATATACATCACCAGTTTTTGATATATTGCATTTTATATATACAAGCACAAAACGAGATCTACGTGAGGCTTATACGAACACACTCCTGGAAACCTATTGCCTGGAATTGTCTACTATATTGGGCACCACATTCCGAAATGATGCTACAGATTTAAAATATCTTCGAAGTATATTTAATTTAAGAAATATCACCGAAGAGTATTATAAATATGTGCTGTATGGCTTGGCAATAGCAATGTGGGTGCTTCCAGCTATTACGTTTGATCCAAATAATCTTCCTAATTTAGATACAATCAGTCAAATGAATACTAGTGCCAAGGATATTAAATGCACGCAAATTTTAACGCATGAATATCATTCCAGAGTGAAGGATTTAGCGTTGGAGTTTTATCAAAACGGTTATTTGAATTCCTATATAAGTGATATTTAGTTTTAATATATAATTAAGAAATTTTAAATAAACTGTATTAAATGTATATAATATTATTCGATTACTAAACTTAAAAAACTAAATATGTACTAATTATTAAAACTGTATTCTTTACAGAGAGTTAGGGATATTTTAAGTTGAGAGTAAAGAAACATATATATATATATAATTCAGACAATTTTAGAAAACATTGGGCTTAGCCGTATTTATTTATCTAGTAAAACTAAAAATTGGGATTATATTTTTCTCAAAGTATTAAAAGCCACAGTATGAAACTTTAAACCACTAAAACCATCTATCTCTTAAGAATAAATGGAAAACCTTTACACCGTTATGCGAAAATATCATTCCAGTAATTAAAGGGGAGAGGTTTATCTAAGAAAAGTTGGGATTATATATTCTATAAAGTTAGTTATATCGTGAGAAAACAAATCTACAAGCCTTTACCATTAGAATGGAAATCAAAGGAGTTCCAATCAATGTAAAAAACACTCACCTTTTCAAAAACCAGACATCTAACAAAGCACTACCCAGTTGCTGCTTGTCAATGTTTTTTATCACAACAGTGCATCAAGAGCCTCTAAATGAACTTTCTAGATAGTAATATCTTTATTGGTGCTTTATTTATATTTTCGTTCTCGATAAATTGTAGCCTAGTCATATTAGTTTGGATTTTTCAAAGTTAACCATAGTTTTTCATTACTGTTCTGCGACTCTTAGGAAAAGGATTATGGATACATTTTTGGGCACCTATTAATGAGGTCAGTATTTGTTCCTCTGCTCTAGTGTTATCAAAGAAAATTGCAATCTGATAATGTTATAGTTTTTGTTTTGAAACCAGTCGACCATCCCACTAGACAGCAAAGATTTTGGCTTAAAAAAAACTAGACGAGCTTACAAGGTGGAAGAAACTCTTTATATCCTTTTTGACTTAAAATATTCCTTCGCCCACCAAGGTTTAACACAACCTAATATCTGTCCTCACTTCCTAATTTCCTCCATCCCCAGCAATCTCTCAATCATTAGCCATCCATACCCATATATTCGTCGTTTAATTCCTTTCATGTTATATTGTTGTTGTTGCTACCCTCTGGGACCTGCTTGTATAGTTTCATTGGGAGGTGTTGAACGTCCTACGCCCGAGGCGTAAAACTGACCGTTCTTAAAGCCCTTTATGGTATCGAAGTTCCAGATCTCTGCGGGATAGCAGAACAACAATCAAATATCTGCACGGAAGGTAATTCCTCTTACATATTTAATTATAAATAATTTGCTGTTTATAATAATAATATATGTGCATGTAACTTTACTTTCTACTTAAAAATAAAATGGAACATAAAATTTGTGTTTCGAATATATTTTATTAAATTCCTAAATTTAACCAATTAACAACAAAAATGCAAATTTATGCCAATTCAAACGGTACAAAAGGTAAAACTGGAGCTAAGGTCTAGGTATTTTACTTGTTCGTTTTTGAAATTCCAATTACAAATTTCTTTGTTATATAAAAGTGATATTGTATATTAAATGCATAAATTGTAAACTGAATATATTATTGCATTATTTTTTGCCACCCCAACCGAGAAAACCTTTAACAAAACCTGAAATTGATGCGGCCCCCTTTTTATCCGGCGATTCCATTTTACCCTCGAGTGATGGCAGTTCAATATAATTATAAGCTAAGTCGAAGAAGAAAGGTTTGCAAGGTATGGCCTCCATATCTGGTGTCAGCTTAAATACATTTGGATTTCTTGTATGTAATGATTGATCCTCTTTATATTGAGATAATCGCTCAAACAGTGGTTTTGACGATTTCTGTGATCTGGTTGTCGAAACTTCACCATCGCCAGTTTCATTCTCAAGTACACTATAAGCATGCGCTGAAAATTTAGAACTATCAATAGTTGTGATGAGACGTTTTAGCTCGTCCGTAAGGTTAAATTCATTAGACGGCTTGCCCTTAAGTGCTTCGGTAGCATAATTAGATGAACGTTCATAAAGAGCAACGGCTTCTATCCACTTTTTCATATCAATTAAAGTCAATGCAATATAATAACAACGGAAGGCTTTGAAGGCACTAGACAAGTTTTGAATTTCGGCTTGGTATTCAGCATCTTCTTCTAAACCAGTAATTTGTTGCATTTCCGTGACGTTTTGTAAAATGATTTCATACAAACGTGCGAAATCCTGTGCACGCACTTTTTTACCTTCGATAGTGGTTTGAGTTTTTCGATTTGGATCTTCGAAACTCAATTTAGCCTATAATAGAATATTTATTAAAATCATTGCAGCACTTTAGATTAGATATACGCACCTGTTCAACTAAACATAAATTACGTTGTAATGTACGGCTAAGTCGTATATACGACAAGTAAGATAGTAAATATTGCACACCAGACACTGTTTGGCCAGTTGCCATTGAACGTAACTTGGGATCTTGCTTAATTTCATCTTTCACAGCTTGTATAGCATCCTTACAATCCATCAATATGCGCTCAATTAACTCAATCTTAGAATCAATTTTAGTAGTTTTCTCCAAAGACTTATCTAAGTCTTGAGCACCTAAAAGGAAGAGGCGTACTTTTTCTGGGCGTACAGTAACTTTACGTCCACGCCATTCAATGGTTTGTAGACCTTCGCAACTCTCAGATTTTGCTTGGCTAATTAAATCATCAAGATTTTCAAGTAAACCTTGTGCGCGCAACTCTAACAAATCATCCATATTGGTGTTACCAGCACCACCTCCGCTTATGTTATACGCACAGTAACGTAAATTTGGTGCAAATTCGTTAAGTTTGGCATTATACAATTCTTGTTCTTCTTCAGGCAATGCTTTTGCTAAATTCTCATACACGACTTGTGCGCGTTTTAAATGTTCACCGGCAGTTTTCCATTCCTGCAATTCAAAATACAAAGTACCATTCATCCAAGCTACATAAGCTTCACATTCCAATTTCGTGCGTGCATCAAATACATCCGACTGCAAATTGAACTAATTTTTAACACTTTTTATTTAATAAATATTTCATTTAAACTTACAGTACACAATTCTTGTAGCTGAAGTGCATATACACAAGCCTTTCGCAATTTGCTTATGAGATGAAAACGTTTACGTGGCTCTGAGTTGGCTTCTTGTTTCAGTTGCATGCCATAGGCCCAGCAACGTTCAGCTGCTGTTAAGGGTATATGTATATAACGTTCATCAGCATTTTTGCCAGCTAATTGAGTAATTGTCACATCACGTTTCTTAAAGTGTCGCTTATCACCTTGTGGGTACTTCAGAGTTTTACGCAAACGACGTATGCGACGAGTGCAATAGCCTCTGTAACGCTGATAGTCTCCATGACGTAGCCCGTGTTGTTGTTGTGCATTTTTTATCATATGCAAAACTATATTTAAGAAAAATAATACGTATTAAATGTATTGCATTTTGCATATTAAACAAGTGAAAGTTACAATGCAACTAAAACAAGTTAAATTTCTAGGTTAAGTTAAGGAACACATATTTTAGATATATTTTCCAAAACATACTTTCTAACGAAAACACTTTATTAGTTTCAGCAATGACAGCATTTGTTTGCTCTGCTTCGTTTGTATTTTCAACAGTTTCTACATTATTTGTAGAATCTTCGGTCATTTTCGTATCTATCATACTTGTTTTGCTGGCACAAATGTTAACAAAACTGGACCGAGCTGTCAAAACGTCATCGGGCAAAAATTGAAAAACTTCGAAAACGTTTTGTAACATTCAGCTTTTATGTTGCTAATATTTATTTTAATAAAATTAATTTATACTGACCTTAAAGTCGGTTATTTAACACTAAAATTGTAAATAAGTATCATATCCTAATTTTTATAATTTTTAAAATATTTAAAAAAAAGTTTAGTTGTACAAATATACCGGTTTATTTCGGTTCCAGCTATAAATGCAATTAAGAAAACAAAATCCGAACAAAACCAATAAAAAAATGTGCTAATAACGTTTGCTAATTGCAAGTGTGAACATATTATTATTATTATATTTAGTAATAACAATAATATTAGTAGTTTTCGATTATTAAATTTGGATTTGCTCACGATCTGTCATATTTCGCTCGAATTTAACCAATTTTGACCAAATATAATATGTTTTTTGTATTCTCAACAATTTTAATCTGCGACACATATTTGTTATGTCAGTACCATTCGTTTATGGCTAATGTTTTCATATTATTTTAGTATCTCTTTTAACTTTTAATACATAAGCAAAAATAATATTTGCAAATATTTAAAATGTCATCTGCATATTAATTGCCAAATAACATAAAAAAGCTATTAATTTCAGGGTAATTTTATGGCGTTTTCCATTGATAAATCTTGAGTCATTTTTTCAATCGAGATGCTCTTTTAATGCACTTTTACTGCAATTTTAATTTTCAATTGCTAATTTCAAGCAAAATGTGTAACACTCGAGTTTAATTTATAACAATCTAGATGTTTTATTAGATATATCTCTGTTATACCTCTGTACCTTTGATAAACTGTAATTTGCTGCGATATATGTATTTGCGACAAATATAAATGACTACTAACACGACTAAAAATGTGTTATATTACTCTGAAAATGTTTAATTACACAAAATTTAACAGATCGACAGTAAATGGAGATTAAATTCTGGTTTACCAATCGAAAACAACATTATTAATATAGCAAAATATCAAAAGTGATACAAATTATTCTGAAGTGTTATACATTTTGTGGCATTAACAAATCAAAAATGAAAATTGTACTAAAACTAAATCGCGGGTAAAAAATTACTATAAATTCACAAATTTGGTAATTGGAAACGATATAAGTATTTCCTTCACAATTAATCAAACTTAATTAACAATAATAGCAAAATTAAAATTTCCGTTTACACCAGCTAAACTAACGTATAGCAATATTAAAGTAAAAATAAAAAAAATAGCATATAACACAAAAATTTAGAGTTAAAAATTATATATAAAATAATATGTTATTAAAAAATGTTTGAAAATAAATAAAAATTTATAGTTTATATTTGTTCAAAATATAAAAAACAGTGATTTTTTTTAAGTTCGTTTTGAGTTATAAGCTTCTACACAAAATATGAAATATAAATTAATCAAAAAAAATGATTTATATATAAAATTTGAAAAATATTGATTTCAAACAAATAAAATTATCAGCACAACAATATACTATATTGTTATTTGAAAGTATTTCGGTGGTTTGTGCGTCAAGTGAATAGAGCTATTATATATAAAATTTATTATTATAACATGTCAAATTTGTGTAATATAGCCGTGAAAAATAAAAGAGTGCAAAAAGAAGAGAAACAACGTCAGTATTCATTGCATTTTTTCGCAAGAATATCTACCCCTGATTCGTTTAGTTAAGATACCAGTGATAAACTTAAAATTTAAAGCCAAAGAAAACCCTGATAATTATTCCTTGCTTAGAGCGATCAGATTATTGTGAACTCACAACATTGTACGCTGTATCGATGCATACCTGAATCCATTTTAAATCGACGTATCTGACCAGTTGCTGTTATAAAGCACAAACTAAAAAATATTTAATTCATATTAATAAGTGTCGTTGCAGCGAATATTGCTAAAGTGATGATCTATCTCGTGACTATCTCGATATTTATGTAAATTTCCACTACGAATTATAACTTTTATAACAAAATCGATAAAGCGAGCTATAACTATATAAACTATTAATAGACTAACAAATATTTTTTGAATGTAACTTTTGTCTCAATATTGCATGAAAATATAATTATTATTACGGAAGCAACAATTAAACATCAGTTCTCTAAAAACAGACATTTATTTTTTGTGGATCGGTTTTAACTTTCAAATCACTTAAAAAATATTTCTGTTGAATTGTTGACTCTACTACATACCGAAACGAGGATAAACTAAATCACATACAGTTTTCAGGTAATTAACTCTAAATATTTCATACATAAAATTATATTATTTAAACTATATTCAAATAACTAGTTTACTACAATTATCAACAAAGCATTTATATATAAATAATTTGAACAGACCGTTAAAAAGTAAGAACAGAAAAGTAAAGTTTGTGCAGATATTAAAAACAGGTTCTATGAATTTTAGTTTGTATTATGCCTAAGATAAGCTACCTACAACAAAAGTATTATATCTCATATATATATATAATTATACTTTTAATATTAAAATATATTGATTTTCAAAAAATAACACCAATATTAAAAACTATTAGCTATAATTGCTACTAAAAAGAGTATTTATTTAAATGATTTACTTTTGTTTTTTTACTTTTGCTTATTATTCTGTAATACAATTAAATTTATACATGAATTATTAATTTAGAAAACAGACCTGTCTTTTATGTTCGAATCTCTTGAATTCGGTATCAGACAAACAAAACACATTTGACGTTTCCCTTTGAATATTCGTGGCCGACACGCAGGGAGCGTTCGCCAACAATATTTCATATAATTTTACTAAATTTTCAGGTAAAAATTTATTAAAATAAATTGTAAACAAGTTTAAGTAATGCATAATATAATTTCTTCAAAATTTAATGTAAACAATCACATTATTCCAACAATTTAATTGCTAAATTAACGTGCACATTGAGGTTATACATACTTTCACTTCACACACACATTTTTACATTATCAATGAATTTGGAATGTCATTTGCTTTGTTGTCAATTAATAAATGCATTATTCAAAACTAGAATAAAACGTGTTTCAAATCATGTTCATTTCACTGTATATATAAAAATATAAATTTCATATTAATCCTATATAGGATGTCCCGAAAGAAGGATTTTGAGGAAACTGATAAGCAAACTCGTATTGCTATCGTCAGCGATGACAAGTGCAAGCCAAAACGTTGTCGCCAGGAGTGCAAGAAATCGTGTCCTGTCGTACGAATGGGTAAACTTTGTATTGAAGTAGGACCGTCTTCGAAAATAGCATCACTTTCGGAAGAGTTGTGCATTGGTTGTGGTATTTGTGTTAAGGTAAGTGGTGTTTAAACATTGAAATTATATTTTATAAATAAATTTTACCAAAAAAAAATTATTACAGAAATGTCCATTTGAAGCCATTACTATTATTAATATTCCAAGTAATCTGGAAAAACATACCACTCATCGTTATGGTAAAAATTCCTTTAAGTTACATCGTTTGCCTATACCAAGGCCGGGTGAGGTTTTAGGTCTAGTTGGTCAAAATGGTATTGGTAAATCAACTGCTTTGAAAATTCTTGCTGGCAAGCAAAAGCCTAATTTAGGTAGATACACCGATCCACCAGATTGGACTGAAATTCTTGCCTACTTCCGTGGCTCTGAGTTGCAAAACTATTTCACAAAAATTCTTGAAGATAATTTAAAAGCTTTAGTCAAACCACAATATGTGGATCAAATTCCAAAAGCTGTGAGGGGTGCAGTAGCTGATTTGCTCGAGAAAAAGGATGAGCGCAAAAACCAAGAAGAAATATGTAAAATGTTGGATTTAATGAATATACGAGACCGTAATATAGCGGAACTTTCTGGTGGAGAGTTGCAACGTTTTGCTATTGCAATGGTGTGCATACAGGACGGAGATATATTCATGTTCGATGAACCTTCTTCATATTTGGATGTTAAACAGCGTTTAAATGCTGCCTTGACTATACGTCATCTCTTGCATCCAACTAAGTAAGTTGATATTTAGGTTGATTGTTTTATTTTGTTAATTTTTTTTATTATTTACTTTTAGATTTATTATTGTAGTTGAACACGATTTATCAGTTTTGGATTATTTATCCGATTTTATATGCTGTTTATATGGCGTACCAGGCTGTTATGGTGTCGTTACTATGCCTTTCTCAGTGCGTGAAGGCATTAATATATTTTTAGATGGTTTCGTGCCAACGGAGAATATGAGATTCCGTACTGAATCTCTAACGTTTAAGGTGATTATTAATGCAGTTTTTTTTATTGTGTGTAATGAATTTCTTATTATAGGTTTCGGAATCTGCTACTGAAGAAGAAATTAAGCGTATGAATCATTATATTTACCCTGCCATGACTAAAACACTAGGTAAATTTACGCTCCATGTTGAAGAGGGACATTTCAGTGATTCTGAAATTTTGGTATTATTGGGTGAAAATGGTACTGGAAAAACAACATTTATACGTATGCTTGCTGGCAATTTACAACCTGATGCTGGTACTGAATTGCCCGTTTTAAATATCTCCTATAAACCACAGAAAATTTCACCAAAGTTCTTAAATCTTGTACGACATTTATTGCATGAGAAAATACGCGATGCTTATGTGCATCCACAATTCATTGCTGATGTAATGAAACCTATGAAAATTGAGGAAATTATGGACCAAGAAGTACAGAATTTATCTGGTGGTGAATTGCAGCGTGTTGCATTAGTTTTGTGCTTAGGTAAACCTGCTGATGTCTATTTGATTGATGAACCTTCAGCTTATTTGGATTCTGAACAGCGTCTAGTTGCCGCAAAAGTTATAAAACGGTATACAGTTTTTTCTTTAATATGAATTATAATTTAAAATACATTTTTAAATATATATTTAGTTACATTCTACATGCGAAACGTACTGGTTTCGTGGTGGAGCACGATTTCATTATGGCCACATATCTTGCTGATCGTGTAATTGTGCTAGAAGGTCAACCTTCGATCAATACAACCGCTTTTTCACCACAATCACTACTTAATGGCATGAATCGCTTCCTTGAATTGTTGGGCATTACTTTCCGCAGAGATCCAAATAACTTTAGACCACGTATCAATAAAAATAATTCCGTTAAGGTAAGTTCAATGGGAGAATAATAATAATTATTATTAATGTGTATTATGTTTTTTTTTATATAATTTTTTTTGTGTACTATTTTTTAATGTGTATAATTTTTTTGTTTTGTATTTATTTTTTCTTTTATGCATATAATTTTGTTTTTATTTAACTTTTTTTTTGTGTATAATTTTTTTCTTTTTTGTTTTGTATTTAATTTATTTTTGTTGTATATAATTTTTAATATTTTTAATGTTATTTTCAGGACACTGAACAAAAACGTTCCGGTCAATTTTTCTTCTTGGAAGATGATGCTAATTAAAAGATATTGGTATTTTTAATTTTATTTTATTTTTTCAAATATATAATATATAAACTGTTTTACACATTTTGTAATTTTATATATTAATATTATGTGCTTTGTATGTTTATAAATTATTTTACATTTTTATTTCTGTTATATAAATTGAAATATTAAATTAGATTATGTAAAAAAAATATTGTACATTTTCAATAGAAAAAATTCAATCAAAACAATAGTTAAATATAATTTTTTATTTAATTTGATACAAAGACAAATTGAATTGTTTTATTTCTTTACATAAGGTAATATAAATTTATAGTTACAAAATTAATTTTGTAATTTAAAATGTTTTATTATAAAAATCAACATATAAAATACAAACTTTATAAAGAAGTATAAAATAAACTATATAATATATTGTGCACAACGAAATTTGTGGCATATATTTCTTTTCAAATCGATAATATAACTTGTATTTTGATTAAAAATAAGTAAATATGCAGAAAACAATTTTTAATATAATATATTTTTTCCCTTCACATTGTGTACAAATTTTAATTTGATTTCTGCATTCTTCATAATTATTTATGAAGAATTATTTATATATATGTATATCTTTTTTTACAACAAATAATTTCAAAATGTTAAAAAGTTTTTAGCAATTACATAAATTCTTTTATTTTCTTATTACGAATTAAACCTCAATTTTTAATAATCATAAGCTTAAATACTTTAATTTCATGATTAAACACACATAATTAGTATGTTTATCTAAAAAGGCAGATTTATAAACTTACAGTTTATATTTTGTTCTTAGTTTTTCTTTTTTAGAATATATAATTAATTCAAGATTGCAATTGTTTTAAGTATTCTATTTTGTATAGTTAAAAAATGTTTACGCATTAAAACTCATTTCAATATTAAAAATTATTACACATACATGATTATTTAATTGCGTCAAAAAATTGACTCAATTTATTAGTTTTTTTTCAGCAGATTAGAGAGCTTTTAAGAATAAAATTATTTAAACTAATTTCGTAAAAAAATACTTATAATTAAAAACACACATATTTCAATACATTAAAAAATATTAAATATTACACAAAGAATGTGACGGCGTAGTATTGGAGTAGAAAAGCGTTAAAGATGTCAACTCTCTTAGAAATAGTTTGACCAAGTTTAGGATTCAACATTCATAAGCTCTAGAATTTCATTGCTTAAGTCGGTAACATGTTTGCGTAGTTTAAGTGCCTAAGTAGCATAAAAAGTATTTATTATTAGCTATGTAAGAAAACAAAAAAACAATACAACATTTACAATACAATATTTACCTTTGTGCGCAACTCCTTTTCCAATGTCACCAAATCTTGTATTTGTGCAATTGCAGTGGAGCTGTGTTTCTGATCAACAATCCAACGCAAGTACAATTCTAAAATGAAGTCAAGATTTCAAAGATAAAGATAACATTAATAACAAATCCACTTATTACCATTCCATAGTTCCAGACTAATCGGTGCTACTGAAGGCCATATTACATTTGAATTAGGTTCATAAAGTGGGTTCAACAGGTTTTTGAGCACATCAGGTCTATTCAGATACGACCATAAGCTTGTAGTACGTGCATTGACACGCAATTCAAATCTTTCCTTCTCCGAATCACATAGAAATGTTCCATATTGTGAGAAGTAACTATGTTCGAAGAGCAGTATTAACATTTGCGTACTGAACTCAAAACTGCATGGAAACTGCATATACAATTGATAGATGCAGTCTAGGAAAAGCGTAAATGTAGCACCAGAATTTTTAGGTCGATTCTGCTGTGGTGTGTAGCAGGAATACCGATGTCTTGAAGCAAACGGATGACCAGCTTGTATCCATTCACGTTCTATTAGTGCTTGCAGGCTGGAATAAAAAAAAAATAAATTCTCCAATATTGACAAAATAGATATGTTTTATAAATACATGTGCCTGTGTTTATGTTAAATGTTACTAAAACTAATTACTATGCAAAGCAATTGAGAATTGATTCCTCTTTTGATGATCATAATTCCAAACAAGTTCTTATTGTAATCTAGACAAATAACCTTCCTTTGGGTCCCTTATAAATTGGGTAAATGACACTTGATCGTTTTTAAAAATGAATAGCTTTAGAGCTGGATTAAGACACGATTGTTCCATTATGGAACAATCGTACAAGTTTATGTAGAGTGTACAGATGTATAGAGATCTTAGAATGGATAACATGGAAGGAATTAAAATATACATGGGTTAGAATTCCAAAAGAAACTGTCTGCAAGTCGATTATTTCGTCATCCTAATACATAGCGCAGAATCATGGACGATGGAGTACAGCGGTTACAGAGTCTATGTCGCGGTGCCACATGCCAACTACGACTTAGGCGCTGCTTACTAGTCTCAACAGGGATTACACCAGACTTGGCAAAATTTCACAGCCTTGATTGAAGTATTAATTTCTTTAATAGCTATTCCTCTCACAATAGCTATTCCTCTCACATATCCGCTATCTAATCCATTTCTTAAAGCTTCTATAGTTTATGTTGATGTAATCCGCGAAGATCTGCTGCAAATGTTAAACAGCACTTGATAGTTAAATTAGACGAGTGGCTCTTCGACGCAGATCTGGCTGCTATTGGAGCCATAACGCATGTATTCGTATTTTGTAATTGTTCAATGTCTCTTGCAATAAAGATTACGTTAAAATGATCCTTAGAAGTTTTTGACACAAGATTTTTATCAAGATATTTGATTGCATCTACGTTCTTTATGAAACAATGAGCAGTATGAATTGTACTATGACATTGAAATACAACGAACAAAGATCTAATGACTTCGTCGGCTAGGTTCTGTTAGAGGATATCGTTTCAGTCAAAAAATTAGTTAAAAAGTTAATATAAAAACGAAATCGCAGAAAAATGTGACTTTCTTAACAGCAGAAAGGTCAAATACTGGGTAATCTATAATACTTTAATATTTCTAACTGGCATCAGTGCGAAAATAATAGAGGACGCTAGACTGAGTCAACTAAGTGGTTATATTCGTACATTATACAAAACATAAATGTATCAAATATAATTTTAAAATATTGAACTTACCCTCTTACAGTACGGCAGTCAGGATTTAGTATAATTTGTACTAATGATGTTACAATTAATGTTGAATCAAAACCTTTGGCACCGTGTACCAGTACAGGGCTACCCTCTTGGTCCAGACATTGTGCAACAACACAAGCGGCATTCAATGAGTTTAACACCAAAGTTAACCAACCACTACTTTCAAGGCGTGATAACCATTTATCCGGTGAGCAATTTACATCATTACAAGCTATGTTGTGGGAAATAAAAATATTATAATACATTTAAATTATTTTAATATACATTATAGTAAATATGGATATGGAAATATATATATTTAAAAAGTTTTCGAATAACATACCTTCTATTAATTTAACAAAACTATCTAATATTGCTGAAGGTGAAGACACATTACCGATGGCTCGATTTACCTTCTTCCATTGTGAATAATGTTGATCGGTTTCGGTATTTGATTTTCCTTTTCCCCAAGTATCTACTATAAAACCTTTTTTACTACGTCCTAAAACTACATTTAAAATTGCTTCATCAGCTCGACAACGTTTTATTCCCTGTATTGAAATTGGTTGAGCACTACGCATCAGAGTGGCCTGCAAATAATAATATTGATTATCTTTTTGAATTTAGAAAGACATATATATAAAACATATAGTAATTTAAGCAAATCCATGTATCGGATGTATGAAGTATTTTTGGGTAAAAATTCAGCCGAATAAAGTAGTCGTAGATATTTAATATATCTGATTTATTTAAATTAATATATATTATACATAACATATATCTTTCTAATTTAGAATTAAATTTTTTTAATTGCTATTGACCCAAAAATACTGAATAAATTCGACTAGTGGATATACTTGAAATATTATAATATCCATTACTTTTATGTGTTCCTTTAAAATTTATTTAGCAATTAAGGAATATTTAATCTTTGGGTAAAAGGATACAAACAGGACTATTAAACTAAACACAGCATACACTGCTCAAAGAAGACTTATATTTTTGCTTTAATTATTATTACTTAAGTATAATATGCTCTTATAGAGTTAGAGGATATGGTAATGCTATACATTTCGAGATTTTGATAGGAAAGGTGAATGACACTTGGTCCACTATACAGACGAATGAATTCGTACGTATACCTTGCAGTCATCATTTTATATACGGCGTCACAAATTGATTTAAAACCACATACACATTAATCTATTTATTAATATCTATGCATTATTTGCCGGAAACGACTAACAAGTAGCAACAGGTTGTCTGGTATGCAAACCTATATATACCTACTATTATTGCTTTAACAGTTAAAGATTATTTCTTACACCATTACATTACACCATTACTCGTTTTTTACCGTATCAATAAACCAACAGAAATAATTATTGGCACAAGCCACCTTAGTCCTTAAAGTGCAATTTTCCTTTCGACGCTATGCACACCAATAATTTAAAAACATTTATGCACAAACCTACATAAATCAATATTGGCGCAAGTGCATTGTATACACTTACCCCATTGTCATGTCTGTAGCTAAGCACAGGAAATCGTCCGCCATCTCTGAACATAGATGATTGCACTATTTGTTCGTCGGTAATTGATTTTGGTACAATCAGTGTCATGCCATAACTTTTGCAAACACTGAAGTCTTTGTTGACATTGGAAATACGCCACTCACAGCCACCGTTGTCAATGCCATTTGTATTATTGGCATTGTTGACGGATATTAGTTTGGCAAACTCTAGTTCCGGTCTATACCCAGGCACATCAAAAAAGAAAATTAAAAACAAAAAAGCAATTATGAAAAAATGAAATTATTGACTATAGCAACAGTTACCTGAACATAGTATAACCATCTTCTAATATCGCGTACATTGGTCTATAGAAGAAAGGGTACTCCATTTCGGCGTTGTGCAATGCAGAGAGTGCCTCCAGCGATGCCGCCACATTGTAATATTCTTTAGCAAATTTTATTTCCAAAGAAATAATGCGTAAATCTTTGCACTTTAAGGTGATAAGGCCACCTATTATTATGTTTTGTACTACAAAAGGTTTTTTTTCAACGCAGTCGATATTTTTATGCAGTAACTATAAAATAGAGGGGCGTTTTTTAATTAAATTATTCAAAAAGTATACAGGAACACAATTTGACTCACCCATAGTTCTTGACTGTTTTCCTGCCTCGCACTGAGTAACAAATGATGACCGGTTATACAAAGCGTACCTTCGACTGTTGCATGCGTATGGTCATGTAAGAACACACCATCCAATTTTGGTGTTTTAATCAGATCTGCAAATTCCATGTCAATTTCCACTTCAACGAATTTAACAGGTCAACTGAATTTTTTTCACTTCTGTTTGTTCACCGCCACCCACTCAGTTGACAAGAAATCGAGCGGAACAAATTGGCGCACACAGGCAATTAGCTGTGTAGCGCTGCTCTTAGTTGCCACTCTTTTAATTTTGTTTTTAATTATTAATAACTTTTTTTCCCATTTTTATTATACTCCAAGGGTGCACTGTGGGCGGTGGGTCGTGTAGTTAACCGCAAACCTCTTAGTTGACTTTGAGTTCTTAATTGGCAGCTTAAATACTAACAACTTTGCAAAACATCTTCCATTTAGTTTTTTATTTTATTCAACACAGCACTTAATGGAATATAAATAATTGTATTATCATTTGCTGCATATGTTTTGCTAAAATATTTTATTTTCATTTAATTTTATGATAACAACGAATGCAGCTGAAATTTTCTTTTGTTTTGACTGAAAAGCTTTGATTTTTGACATTTCCTAATGCAACGTATGTTGCGAGTGCCTAATTAAAAGCTCTCTCTCTCACTCTCGCTCGCTGGTCTCGCTGGTAAACATGCTATAGTCAGTCTTTTAAGACTTAAGTGTAATATAATCAAAAATTTTAAAATGTATAAATTTTTAATATGTTCCTTAAAAAAATTATATTAAAAAATTAATGCATATATATATATTAATTTATATAATATTATGTTAATTTATAAACCCGAGTTCGATTCCTGGTACTTGCAGTCACAAATATAATTATTTACGAATAATTAAATACATGAATTATTTCCAAGATCACTGACGAAGGGTATTTGGCAATACTCGAAACAGCTGTATGGTCAGCCAAAAATTCAATTAATTTAAATAATATAAAAAATAAATTTTTATTGTTGTAGTTCACTACTGTTCGAAAAACCTCTTTATAAACATATTTATAAATTTATAAATTAAATATATTAATTTATGTTCACACTTTTATGTATATCTTAAACTACATTAATAATGCTCTTTTGCATTTTTTCTTTTTTAGTTGTGAAAAAAATTTGTTGTATAAATAAGAACATGTTTTGAGTGTTTTTTTTTATTATATATTACATTATAATAATGTATTATATTATTAATATGTATTATATTATAATTCTGTATTTAATACAGACCACAGTTATACGACGTTTACATTGGCCGAAAATGGCTCATTTTGAATAAGCCATTTAAAAGTGTTTACATTCGTTGTAATTCGTTTGTTCTCATTTCAAACAGCTGATTTTTCAATTTGCCTGTTGATTTGAAAAAACTGTTGCATGAAGGTTAAATATGCCTTCAATCCTTACCATATAAACTTAAAACATATTTTTTACTTCGATTAATTACTTTTTGGGAAGTAGAAGTTTTAAAAAGAGGTGCATCGTTTTCAAGGAAGTGCTACCATCAAATATTTGTTTACCTTTTTTTGTAAATATGTCAAAAACAGCTTTCTCAAGCTGTCATAATGCCATGAAAAGCTTTTATTTAGGGTATGTTCAATGTATTCCATTGCATTTGGAACATATTTGGAACGCTTGCAAACATCGTTGGGACGCATTCATACAGAATGTGATGCAATGGCTCATTCGTGCTTGAAATTTTGTATGCAAGAATGAGCCATTCCCTTCTCATTTTCATTGGCCTTTTTCGGCCAATGAAAATGCCGTATTAAAACATTTAAGTTATCGACAAAAATTAATAATATTGGCGTGCAGTATATAAAATAAAATGTATAAATCAAATTAATTAATTGATTAATAAATATATAAATAGTTTATTATAATACATACTAACCACTTAATCATTATGTATTTAATATCACAGTTAACTGATAAACCGGTAATGCTGGCATTAAATGTGCTCGAAAGCTTTTTTCCCATCCACTTCGAGATATGCGATTAACGTTAAAAACAAGTAATTATGAAAAATTCAATTTAATAAAATGTTTATAACGTCATATTTTTTTATATTTAACCTGTTGTGCAAATTTGATATAAATTGACGCAATTTATTTAGTATATAACCAAATCAATTAATATGTTTATTCTTAAAATAATCATTTTTTCATCTTTAAATGAATATAAAATTTAAGATGTGAATTGAAAGATGTTTTGATTTAGCTTCAATAACCCTTAAATATATTATCTAATTAATTATTAACATTTATCAATATTTAGAGATTATAAATAACAGCATTTCAAACATTTGCTTTCATTGTTTATGTTGATGTTAGAGACATGACTTTCCTTATCCTCATCCAATTTAGGGATTTATTTCTATTTAATTGAATTCGCCTAGTAACAATTTCGGAACAATACTAGTTAATTCGTTTTTATATAATATTTGCTGTCTATGATCTACCAACTAGTTTACCTAAGCGAGTTTCATCTTGGCAATGCGAATAACTTAATTTCAGCATGCGCTAGCAATTACGACCCGATTGTCCATGATAGAGGCCTAGTTTTTTGAGAATCGTGACAAATTCCAGGACTTTCTAAAAATCATTTTAAGCTTTGCGAAAGATTCTATGTAGTGTATTAACCTTTCTATTGTTATACGGCAACAATTATATACAATTATAATTATAAATGTTATATGGGCCAACAATTTTTCGTTACTCTTTAGGGTCGCCGATACTATATAACCCAAACTAATAACTAAGCTATAACGACCTAGTGATAGCACTCCATAATTTATTCCATAATATATACACTCCATAATATATATTAATCTCTTTTTTTTAAATTTCAAATTAAAAATTACTTCCTTAACACATTTTGTTCTAGTTTCAATGGAAATTCTGAAACAATTAGCAGATACTGTTAAATGCATTAATGCTACTTAATTTGAAAATTGAAATGCTTTTTTTTTTGCAACTCTTAATAGTTTAGCCTGAATTATTGTCTAAAATCAGCATAAAAGATAGCAGTGGTGTCTACACTGATAGTTCTATCCCCATTATTCGTAATAAATTCTTCTTCATTCTCTAACAAATCCTTCCAATATTTCTATATTTGGCACGTCCCTACCATTATAAGATTCTACTATATCTTAAAATTTCGATTCTAGAATCTGTTAGATTTTATTAGAATATTTTATTCAGTAAAATAAGCGTCAAACGCAGTATGACGTACTATTTTAAAGCAATTACTCTAACATGTGTTTTTATGGAATATGCAAATAATTGATACACAATTAGGGATTTAATTGCTGAAATTCGTTAATTGAAATAGTGTATGGTGATTCCTTTTCAATCTCGCTTTTTCGATGCTACTTGCTTTTCTAATATAATTACAAAAAAGAAATACACATTTTAATTACTTTATAATATATTTTATATATTATATTTACTATTAAAAACGTTTTTAAAAACATTTTACATAATTGATTGCTTTTCGTTTTTTGTTTTTTTTTTATAAGGACTTATTTACTAAACTTTTTAGTGATTGCTTGATGAATATTGCTTTGTGAATTCAATTCGAATTGCATTCTAAGTCTACGTTATCTAGGTACAAGAATTAAATGTTATATATATACTAATAAGGTATATGCATATATTTTTTAAAATATACTAAAAAAAATATATCACAAATAAGTTTATTTTGCTAATTTTTTTTGTTTTGTTCGAAGTCTTCAATTAAAAAGAAGAAATTTAAATTTACTGATACGGTTAAGAATAACTAAAATAATAAAAAAATAATGGATTACAGAAAAACATAAATTAAATTGATGTATAAAGGCATTGATCGAAACATTAACACCTATTTCCTGCTGGGACGTCTCTTCTCCTCTCACCTACTTTTCTACGAACCATCTAACCCTCATCTAACCCTTGTATTTCTTCTGCGATCTTTTGCTGTACGCGCCCCCTCCACAACACAACAAGAACAATGATGTTATTGTTAAAGCTCGCAGGTTGTTGTTATCTAAAAAATAGATAATATTAAAGGAATCACAAAGGGTTAGGATATGGATAAGAAATGTTAATGTGAGAAAAGAGGTGATTGTTAAGGAGTAACGATGGATTGGGGATTTAAATTGAATTAAACGAGAATCAAGGCGGAGAAACCTCGCCACTTAAATGGAGAGGGTTCAAAGATCGATTGGACTCAAGTTTGTCCGTGCATTAGGAGCTGCAGTTAGGACACACATTGGGAATTGAAGCATTTATGGTTGAGATTGAAAAGTTTAGCACATTAGTACATCCTCATCCTTTTTCCTGTACTTGGAATGCGTCGTTTTGTCTGAGAAATGTTAGGCGGGGGTCTATTGACAACTTTGTTGCTGTGCAATCGTGGCACAGTGCGACAAAACAGAAGTTAGCTGATCAAAATTCTGTACTTTCTGAACCAGTAGAGATATTGAAATAAAATTTTCCTTAAATGTGGTTTTTGAGTTGGTCTTTCTTTTAAGTTTCGGCCTATCTGAGCCTAAAACTGCATCTGTAT